TAAATTGGTTTTAGGGTATTAGTATTTTTTATATTAACTTTAAATTAAATTGAATTATTTGTTATTGGCATATGGGTTTTTGACTTGCTCAAGGCAAATCAAAAACCCATACCAAATAAGATATTTATAAAATAAATATATTATTTGAATAATTATTTTATATATTTTTTTTTTTCAAAAAAAAGTCTTACATTAAAAACAAATAATACCATTAAAATAGCATGATAATGAGATTAATATTGGATAATAATTACATTAATATTGTATAATAGTACATTAATGTATTAAAGAACACCATAATATAGATTTTGACTTTCAATTTACAATAAAAAAAAAAACCGAATTATTAATAATATTTTTTCCTTATTCAAATCATTAAATCATCTAGCCTTAAGATTATATTTATTTTATAATGCATGATAGATAAATACTTTTGTTATCGCAATAAATATATATCTACAAACCACATCTAATATTACAATTTATTTTCTAAGAATTTCTCTATAATTCTTAATTATTCGATTACAATTTGTATTCAAATTTTAAAAAATCAGAGTCAATTTAGAATTTGTAATACAACTCTCTACTCTTCCATATCATTTTTTTTTCAAAGCAATATAAATATACACTGAGTATTAATTACTAAACTCTCTAATTAATTTTAATAAGGCGATAAAATACATTAATTATTTTTCTTAATAAAATTAATATCAATATCTCTAAATTAGTTTAATAATTAGTAATAATAATTAAAATTAATAGAGAGTATTTTAAGCTAATGAAGAGCATCCATCATCTTCTTGCTCAGGTATAGCTATTTAATATATAATACATTAAAAGTACCTTTCATATATGAAATTACTGAATTTTGTTTGCCTATTTAGGATGCTTATTTGATTTCAATTTGCAATTAAGCAAATACTTTAGTTAAATCATCACATTTAGAAGTCATGCTAAATTTAAGTATAACATTTTTTATCTGCTGATTTTATTAATTTCTGATCAAAGTCAAATTCTAAATTATGATTTGGTTCAAATGATTAAGTAATTTATTATTATTAATAAATTTGATATTATTCTGGGAGAGCTTTTAATTTTTCTTTTGAACCTAACCTCTTTTCTTGCTATAATTTAATAATTACATTTAAAGAAGAGTTTCTTTTTGATAATGATAATTTAACTGAGTCAGCCCAAGAGAATTATTTAGTATTTGTACCTTAACTCCAAATTATTCTTGTTTTTATATTATAATCTTTTTATCTAAGAAAATAGGTAGTTTAGTTTATTTTTGTGGACTTTTCTAAAAGAATTATAATATATAATTGTTATAATTTGATGTAATTATTATTAATTCTATGTTAGAGTTAGAGATGCTTTAGATGAATGCTAACTAGTCTAGTTTAATTTTTATGAGGGAAATTATTATTCAGCAGTATTGGTATTTATTATTAACCTTTATTTTAAGTTCCTGAAAATAAAGGTCCTCTTGGAGGCAATGGGGATTAACAGAAGACATATGTTATCAAGATCCAGGTCTTTCACTTTCATCCTTGTAAACTGCTTAATTATTAACAATTGATCTTTCTTGAATGTTTTTAACTAGTTTGAAAAAGCGCTTGAGCTTATATTAATGCTAATTTGAACTTTTTCTCTAATAAGAAATACTGATATAGATTTAGAAAATTTATAACTTTTTAAACTTCTTACAGTTTGTTAATTAGATTACTACTTAATAATAAGATATAAAAATAGAGAATAATATATATTAGATAAAACGAAATAGAATTATATACATTATTGTATTAAAAATAAAAATATAACAATTTTTCACTATGATTTATTTAATGAAATTCATTATTATAAAGGTAGGATTGACAGATATAACGTTTGTTTTTGATCTTTATAGTAAATTTATTTACTAGATTTTTATAGAGCATGTTTAAGTATTCTAAAAATTTATTAGTAAAAACTTTATTTAAATCATTCAAAAGAAGAATTAATTAACTTAAACAAAATACACACCTGACCAAAATTATGCATAGCCAAATCACAGTTGTAATACAATCAGTTATCAGTATAATGATGTTGTAAAATACTGTAAAAAGCAGTAAATTTATTACTTAAAACCAATTAAAATTTAATTATTTTAGAGCTAGAGTAACTATTTCATAGTTATCATCAAATAATTCAGGAGTGATAAATATTAAAAATGACAACAGCATAAGTTCTCGTACAAGAAATGGAAATACTATAAGAATGTAAGTCTAATCAATAATTTTATCTAGCTATAAACAAATGAGAAGGATAAAAATTGGTAAGAGTTCAAAAGTTGAGTGTTGAGCAATTCCTAAGAATACTCCATATGATAGCATCACAATAAATGAAAATTATTGCAAGATAAATTCATTATATCTAATACTCTACTCTAAGAGCCAACATAATAATATTAACAAGATCAAAAATGCTATCGATAATTGTAACACTCAAATTTAATCTCATCTGACTTTCTAAAAATTTCAGACTCCGATTCATGAAATTCATCTCTATAATTATCATCCATAATTCGTTTTTGTATTATAATAATATATTATTATTCATTATTATTTCTTCAATCTAATCTAATCATTCTTATTATCTCTATTATTTTTAACTTCAAAAAGTTACCAATTTTTATTTAAATTTAGAAACTATGCCCTATTTCTTACCATTTATATTTACTTATTTACATTGCATTAAGAATTTTAAACATCATATATCGATGTGTTTATACGAATTAACAAAATATTAAATTTTTCTTATATTTTAATAACTTTTAGTATAAATATATACAATAAACAAAAAGTTAAATAAAAATCATTACACTTTATCTTTCTAATCTAATATCTCTCTTGCAAACTGGACAATGCTTTTTTGATAACCTTTCTTAAATGCATTCTTTATGAAATACATATCCACATTCTAATTGAATCTCAACAGGATTACCGCTTTCTTCTAGACAGATTGTGCAACTACAAATAAATTATTAACTAATCAATCTTTAATATATTAAATTATTATTTCAATACAAATCATATGTTTAATTTTAAGTAACACATTCCTTAAGTAATTATTATATTTAACTTTCAACAAAAACCTTACTTACATAACCCATTTTTTAACTCAATTTATCCCAGTCTACAATATTTTATACTATAGATTATTTATATATTTTTACATTAAACGATTTTAAAATTCCATCTCCTCTTCTTATTATAACATCAAAGCAAAATGAAAAGATTTCTCTTTCTTCACTCATCTCTTATTCCGGTTTTTCAATTTAAAAACTTCATTAATCTTCTTTTTCGATTTAAGGATTCTCATTTCCATTTATTTTCTATTCTAAATCAGACATTTTGTTCTTTAATCCTATTATGATATTTTTTAACTTTTCATTCTCTTGACCCAATTCATTAATTAAATCAGATTATGTATCTAATTTTTATTAAGTTCATTATTATTTAAATTGGCACCTGGAATAATTTATCAAATATTTCCTTCTAATCTGTACTTGATTTCAATTAGCTGAATTTTATAGAAAGTCTATTTCAATAATCTTTTTAACAATAAAATTATTAATAATTTAATTGTAAATTAGTTGGGATTTATTTTAATAATAAATCTCAATTTCAATGGACTGAAAAATATAATTTACTTAAAAAAAAGTAATATTCAAATAAGAACAATATATTGTTTTCACATTAAATATTGATCTCTTATTTTTTTTGAACTTTTTATAGAAAACTAGTTATTATTATTTTTATTCCGTTTAAAATAGAATAAACTCTTTAGTAAATGTTATTAATGAAAAATATAAATTTATTTCATTAGATTGATAAATACATTGCCTTTCTTACATCATTGTAAAAGATGTTTAAAAATTTTTAATATTTTTTACCTTTTAAATGGTGATTGAATAGATGAACAAATTTTAGAATTGTAATAATACTTAAAATTTAAAATGATAATTAAGTGATTTAAAATTAGGGTTGCAAATATATATATATATTTTCTATATTCTTGAAGATCAAAGTATTAGCTAAATAATTCATATATTTTTTGATACTTATAGAAGTCAAAATCAAATGTGTCTGTCTTATCAATCTACAATTATTTTTAAATAGATATTTTAGTAAAATAAAATTGATATTAATCCATATTCGACTGGTTCTGCCTGCATTATTTAGAAATATCAGTGAAAAATACGATAATATTTTGTATAATATACTAATTAATCACTTTCAATTTTTTTTTATAAATTGGAATTTGAAATTAATATAATTTACCTCTAGCATCCAAACTAATTTAATTTATTTTGGCATTCATATTTGTTTCTCTCTTAGCTTGTGAGTTTCAAGTTTTTGTTTGTTTGATCCCTTTAGTTTATTATTTAAGGGGTGCATAAATTATCATACTTATATTTTTGGCAATTAAAACAAAAGAAATAGATTTTATAATTTTATTTTCTAAAGAAGTAATGACTTAATGATGTAGCTGATTTAATTTATTTTTTACAGAAAGAGTAGTTTATATGAAAGAGTTAATCAGCTCTAAAAGTAATAAATACTTCTTTATGTAATTATTCTTTAGTTTAATTAAATAAATTAATGGTAATGAGATCTAAACAATGGATACTAAAAAAAAAAGGCAGATCATAATGGGAGTTAATAGATTTCGATTAAATTCGTAGAGCAATCGGCAAATTCATTGAAATTTTGATATCAGAAGACTAGCTTTGCTGATATGCATTTTATTTGAAATTGAAATCTATATTAATCATATTCCTCATTGGATTGGAGGTTTGATAGTATTTCGAAGGAGCTTTTCAACCAATTATGAAAGGAATACTAAAAAGATAGATAAAACATTCACGGAATCGAATAAACTAAAAACTATATATTTTGCTGAAAATTTTACTGTGCTAACACACAAGAATAGGATTGTTGTAATCATAGCTGGTTTTAATANTTCAAATAAGAACAATATATTGTTTTCACATTAAATATTGATCTCTTATTTTTTTTGAACTTTTTATAGAAAACTAGTTATTATTATTTTTATTCCGTTTAAAATAGAATAAACTCTTTAGTAAATGTTATTAATGAAAAATATAAATTTATTTCATTAGATTGATAAATACATTGCCTTTCTTACATCATTGTAAAAGATGTTTAAAAATTTTTAATATTTTTTACCTTTTAAATGGTGATTGAATAGATGAACAAATTTTAGAATTGTAATAATACTTAAAATTTAAAATGATAATTAAGTGATTTAAAATTAGGGTTGCAAATATATATATATATTTTCTATATTCTTGAAGATCAAAGTATTAGCTAAATAATTCATATATTTTTTGATACTTATAGAAGTCAAAATCAAATGTGTCTGTCTTATCAATCTACAATTATTTTTAAATAGATATTTTAGTAAAATAAAATTGATATTAATCCATATTCGACTGGTTCTGCCTGCATTATTTAGAAATATCAGTGAAAAATACGATAATATTTTGTATAATATACTAATTAATCACTTTCAATTTTTTTTTATAAATTGGAATTTGAAATTAATATAATTTACCTCTAGCATCCAAACTAATTTAATTTATTTTGGCATTCATATTTGTTTCTCTCTTAGCTTGTGAGTTTCAAGTTTTTGTTTGTTTGATCCCTTTAGTTTATTATTTAAGGGGTGCATAAATTATCATACTTATATTTTTGGCAATTAAAACAAAAGAAATAGATTTTATAATTTTATTTTCTAAAGAAGTAATGACTTAATGATGTAGCTGATTTAATTTATTTTTTACAGAAAGAGTAGTTTATATGAAAGAGTTAATCAGCTCTAAAAGTAATAAATACTTCTTTATGTAATTATTCTTTAGTTTAATTAAATAAATTAATGGTAATGAGATCTAAACAATGGATACTAAAAAAAAAAGGCAGATCATAATGGGAGTTAATAGATTTCGATTAAATTCGTAGAGCAATCGGCAAATTCATTGAAATTTTGATATCAGAAGACTAGCTTTGCTGATATGCATTTTATTTGAAATTGAAATCTATATTAATCATATTCCTCATTGGATTGGAGGTTTGATAGTATTTCGAAGGAGCTTTTCAACCAATTATGAAAGGAATACTAAAAAGATAGATAAAACATTCACGGAATCGAATAAACTAAAAACTATATATTTTGCTGAAAATTTTACTGTGCTAACACACAAGAATAGGATTGTTGTAATCATAGCTGGTTTTAATATTTATTCCTTTTCTCAATGCTTATAATTTGAAGAAGGATTTAGCTTGCTAAAGAGAGTTCAAGCCAATATTTTAAAATATCAAATTCCTTTTTCTTGGAGCCTACTTTTTTATTATAGCTTAGACTAAAAAGTAATGATCTTCGAACTTATTATTACATAATTTCTGGAAGAATTGATCATAACAAAAATTTACATATAGCTTTCTAATTTTAATGGATTTTTAATAAAATAAATTTTATTGGGTTTCTGGAGTATAGGACTAAAAATTTTCAGGCATTTCTAAAATAAAGAGAAATCACCTCTAAGAAATAAAAATGTTATGGAATGTAATAATTATTAAGTTTTATATCTGCTTTCCCATATATTTGTGCATTTCTTATTTTAGTCTCCTTAAATAGCTTCTTTGCTTCATTTATAGCACCATTCATTGAACTCAATTAAATCTCTAATGATCGGATCTGATATAATGATTGACACACTAACAGTTAGAATGTTTTTTTTTAATATTTCCCATTTAAAGATTAATGTTAATTTATCTTCTCAAATTGAGATATTTAATCGGACTTCAGGGAGGTTTTTATGTATACTTTTCACATTTTCATCTCCCATTTGTTTATCCATCCATTGGTAGATTATCTTTTTTAAGCCTCAAATTTAGTTCTTTCTATTTTTCGAAAGTTATTATAAAAAAAATAAAAATTTTATTTTTACTTTACAGATAGATAAAAAAGAATTACTTATTGCAAAGGACAGTAGATCATAAAATCACTCAAAATTCAGGCTGTTTAGAGATGAACAATCCAAACGCAGGAAATAAGATTTATATTTAAAAAATAAATGGCAAAACTAAATTTAGAGTTGTATCTAACAGTTTATAAAAAATCATGAATCTTACTTAGAGTGTTAGATAAAGAAAAATTAAGCACCTTAAAATATCTTTTGTTAATCCATAAACCAAATCATCAAAATATTATTTAAAACATAATATAAATTTTCATCCTATTTACTTTGAAAAATAGCACATTTGTTAATTTGTTAATTTGAATGGCACAAACATTGGAACTTTTGGTATAAAAACTAAAAATCGATTGCTAATTAATACCAATCAATATTTGCATCTAGATTTGAATGTGTTCTTTTTCTTTTTATTTTTATTATTTACATATATTGCTTTTCCAGAAACAATCTCCAAAATTTCTATTCTTATTGGCTAAACACACTATGATTTATATTGATACTTATTTTAACATTATGGTTGACTCTTAATGTATACTTCTCTTAACATTTTCCTTGTTATTCAATTTCTTGTCCATTTCATTAAAAATTATTTTTTATTTCAGTTAACTAGGAATTTTCCCTCTTAAATAATCAACATTAACTGTATGATACAGTTTTCCTCTTATCTTATATAAATATTCATCGAATAAGGAGGAATTTTTAATATCTTATTAATTTTTATTATAAAAAAATAGGGTATTAATAAATATTAGTTATTATTCACAGTCATTATTATTTAATATATTAACAGCACCATATTATTTGAAAGCTTCAAATAATTCTTTTATTTATTAAAGAATGTATCCTTTTTCAGCTTTTCATAATTTAATGAGAAAAGTTCATTGTTCTATTTTGTTTTATAAAATTAGATTAAGTATTAATTTAACCTGATTATCCCTATTTGTGGGAGAGGACTTGATTTTTTTGAAATTTATAATTATTATTGATTCCCTGATTTTGTGATGTTTTTTTTAGATTAATAAATATTTACTTACGTTAATTTTCATCAGTTTTTGTGAAATGATATTCATTTTTGTTAACTTTCTCTCCCTCAATTTTATTTAGTTATTATAATTGTAATACTTGCTTAGTGTTTTATTGATCATTATTTATAAAGGTTAGTATGATAAAATCAATTGTATTCTATTCTAAATTGGATCTATTTACAACTTAAAAATAGTTATCTAAAAACTCCTGCCAATTATTAATCTAATACGATATCATAGTCTCATGAACCTCCTTTTATAAATACTTAAATTCAATTATAAAAATACTATGTAAATTTTCAAGCAAAGGCTATTCTTTTTAAAAACATGAGTCATTTTTATAGTTTGATCTAACTCCACATACTCTCTCATACAAAGGAGAAACCTTCTTACCCTTAGGAGCTACTTTTTTTCATAGCTGACATAATCGGTCATAATTCATTGGAAATGTAATCAAGATGAAATATATCTTTAAATAAAAGGTTCATATCTATATTATTTGATAAAGGAATAATATTATTATCAAATAATGTCAAGTTTAATTTAAATCTGTTGTCTTAAACACAAATTTTATCATAATGAACATTAAAATAGTTTCTATTGCATTCTTAAAGGCAACCTGTCTGCTTAAGAAAACTACTATTCAGATTCATTAACCACTTTACAAACTTTAACCTTCAATACATCTTAAACAACCTGTTTCTTAAGGACCACTATAAATTAATACAAGTTGGGTGACAGTAATTGACATTAGCATATTTCTAATTCTTAATCCCATGTATGAACCATCAGGATCGAAACAAATTTTTATTTAAATATTTTAATTCATTTCACTAGTAGTTGTACTTTAAATTGTAAGAAATTCAAAAATGTTAAAAGAATTATTACAAATTATACCCCGATTATTTGTCAATCTTCCTCATATATCTTGCTGGAAATTATTTAAGAAATAGCTGAGCTTGTAAAGTTAATTTTTTATTTAGAATTTGTATTATCTGCTTCGATAAAAAACATCTTAAAAAAACTTAAACTTACGATGCTGATTTTTATAATAATAATTGGGTAATGGCAGCAATGTGTGCCAAAGCTGCTTAAATCTCATTAAAAATAAAAATCTGTAATTGAAATCCACTGATGTATGTTCAGTTGACAAGAAATTAGTTATATATAGAAAAGCCTTTCAAACTTAGAAGCTTTGTAAAACCATTAATGATATTATTTTGACATTGATTAATATTTAAGCTTTTTGACCATCATAATATAGTAATGTTTCATCAATTGGATAATCAAAAAATTATCACGATTTAGAATCAATCAAGAAATTATTTGTAAAAAATTATTTTGGACAAACTTATCAATTTTCAGAAAGCTTTGGACCAACAGAATTACAAAATTTAAACCTTTCAAAAGATAATTTAATTTTTATAAATAATAAGATCACACTAATAACTGACATAAATTAGAAGCAATTAAATAAAGAGTTAGTGATTATATTACATATAAATTGCCATATCTTAAGGAGAAGAAAAAGATTTTTATTCATAAATTAAATTAACAGCATTGAATAAACTGTTTAAAAAGCTGCTATTAGGATCATCAAACAAATCCTTGAGGTTATATAATAGAAACTCAATAAACTTACATAACAATATTAAAAGTTGGAGAATAATTAAAAAAAATAATCAGAATAAGAATCCTTTTGTAATTTAATAATCTAAATAATTTAAGAAAACCAAAAAATGCCAATTAATAATTAAATCATTAATATGTACTAGCGTTTATACAATTATCAATCGGATAAATGTTTTGATAATGTAGTAGAAAATAATAATAAGATATTCTACAGTAATATGTATCAGCATCTTATGGATTAATCTTCAATACCATTATGTAGTCATTAATAGCATCATCATACCTATACAAATCAGAATACGCTTTTCCTAAAAATAAGATTTAATATTTTACTACTATTTTTATATCCTATAACATATTATCTATTAATCTCTAATGCCATTGAGTAGTCATTAATAGCATCATCATATCTTTAGAAATCACAATAATGAAGTTAAGAGATTTTATGAAGAACTCCATAATAACTTATAATAAAAACAGAAATAAAATGAAATTTAAATAACATAAGCTTAAAAATCAAGCACTTGTATAATTAATTGAATTTATTTACTTTATCTAGATTTAAATAATTACAATGTAATAATTATCATCCTAAATATAATTTTTTAATGATATATTTCTTAGATAATATATCTTTATTATTATAATATTTAAACCGATTTAAATCTTAATTTAATTCTTAAATTTTTTGATGATATATAAAAGAATATTATTCCTGCGATAATTTTCGATATTAAACAGATTATCAAGTACTACTCTTCTCAATC